TGTACCTACTTACCTGAGGAACACATTTCGTTCAAACGTTCCTTATAGGCAGGGATGAGTCTAAGCATTATGATACAAGCTATCAACGGATTTATACTCAACACGAGAGCAACTATAATAGGCAAAACTGAAATCAGTGCTGAATCATGGAAGAGCAAGCATGTAAACTTGTTGAAGAAACAGAGAATAGAATACAGAACAGAAGCGCTGTAGGAGGAAAGCTGACACCAGACAATTGGAAGAAATTCTGAAGTAATGTACATAACTTGTTTTACATACAAGGCCGTACTAGTTTCAGAATATCAACCGTGAGTTTGCGTTGGGCTTCTGCTGCTTTGGCAGATTCAGTTGGAACACAACGACGCTTCAAACTCCAGATGAGATATGATGTAGTTGAAATACAAATACCCAGAAATACGCATAGGGAGAAAAAAAATAAGCCAACAACTAAATAGTTATCTGTGTCTATATTCACCACCAGAGTTTCAGCCATGAATATCTCCGGTGGGGGATTATTGTTGAACTTCTTCAAATAAAGATGTATCATATAAGGTTTTCAACAGTGACAAGTAGGAAACCGACCTCCGAGCACAATAGCCGATTTTCATCTTTTGTGATCATTAACGAACTCAAGTGAATCCAAATCACAACTGAGAAGTGGAAGATTGAATAGACCACGAGACGAACGATAATCTGTTTCTTCCGTTGCTCTGTCAGATTGACTGAAACGGCAATGGCTCTGAGAAGACATATGAACGTGATAAACCAAGCCGTCACTGCAAAACATGATCAATACGAATCAAAAAAAACCATTACTTGCAAGCAGACATACTTGAATGAATAGTTGCAAATGGACATTCAATCCGAGATAACGTAAGATTCCATTGGGATGGATAGCCAAGCAGGGCAAGAGAAAAGTGGGAGTAAAACCAATCGTGAAAAATATTTGAGCGAAACATATTCTGAAATATTTCCATATGAGATATACTTGCTGTCGCCAAATGCCTATCTCCTACATGACTCCATTCCCAATCAGGGCAAAGCGAAACACAGCACTCAGCTTGGTAGGGACGAACACCGTCATATATATCAAAAGCGTAAATGTACAAACACCCAAAATGGACAAGCAATGCAGCGAAGTAACGTAAAGATCCATCTTACGGGAAAAACACCGCTGAAATACACAGATCTTAGTAATTGGATTGTGTTCTTCAACAGCAGAACCAAATTTCCACTGAACAGACAATATGTTGCCTGGTTGATTTGTGATTCTCTTGGCAGTTCGTACGTTTGTTGGTACAACATTCGTATTGTTACAAATCAGCTCGATTAAAGGGGGCTACATCATCTTGGTTACGCATATTGTAGGCAAACCATGCATGATGGTAAGATACTTACAATCATGCTTGGGACACTACTCACCCAGCACATAATCACTATGATAGAAACAGAATATTCAATTCGAGCAAGGGGTATTAGAAGATGGAGATACTTGGGACATTGAAGGAGGATTGAAACTTTGAGATTTGCATTAGAGCGCGTTATCTTGACAGTAATACATTTACCAAGTAATTTCCAAAGAGCCAATTGGTTGCCAAAACAGAACTTGAATGAAACCCACGTAAACGACCAGACTACATCTCCAAAGATGAAAAATGAAAACAATAGATTTCATTCTTCTTTTAATTTTTCCGAGTGAGCGGTGTTCGACCTAGCGATAACAGAAAAGCTGTAACTTTGTGAAAATCATCCAAGTGGGATAATTCTTTTTCTGTTTGGTAGCTAATCTCAAGGTGATAACAACCACGTCTACTCGTACTGATGAAGAATGTCAGATTCTCTTAGCAACTTTAGCTCTTTTAAAAATGGCATTAAGGATTCTACAGTTTTCTCATGCAAAAATACACCTAATACATATTAAATATAAATGAAATCTTGTATGATAAAGGTTTATGAAATGCAAAGAAAACCAATGACAAGCCAATTACTTCGTAACAGATATTCAAGTGCACCGTACATCGTACGATACAACTTCGTATTACTGTGGTATGTGGTGATTGGGGCAACCGATTATCTAACAGGTAAAACTTCTAAGTGTTGTGTTTGAAATCATTTGATAGCTTATGGAACTGATGTTTCAGTCATCTTCGAATTTTCGTTCAGCTTTTGTATTTTTCAATTCGAAATGTAAAATAAAATATTTATGAAGTATTGCACAATTGTCATGCTTCAATATAGTTAAGATTCTATGTATGAGATTGGTTATACTCTCTTTCCGGTTCTTAAGCAGAAGAAGATGCAGATGGTGGCAACGATCATCATCATGCAGAGGAAGGCAACCTGAAAACTGCATTACTATGAAGGTTCTTATTAGTGCCAAACCATTGCTGACATCACGTGGTAGGACATACACACTCCTTCAGAGACTAAATAATCGATTTGTTGCTCTTGAACAAGTGCTGATGGTGAAGGTAATGCTTGTGGTAACTGTAAAAGTCTTAATATATTTTAGCATTTTATTCAAACTGACCTCTCCTTCGAGAACTTCCAAGGTGGTGAGTTCGGCTCGCACGTCCAAAATATTTTCAAGTTGAGTAGATCTTAAATTTGATTGATACATTATTGCTTCAATCCAGTTTCACCTTTTGCGGAGAACTCGGAAGAACTGTGGCTGTTGTTGTGGTTGGTCGGAAAGAGCCTGTTTGATAGCTCCAAATCCTTGTGGCTCGGAACACTGGGGTCGAGCACATTCGCTGTTGGGTTCCTTAATGATATTCCATTCATTTGCAAAAGTGCACAAACAACAGTACTTTAACTGAGATGCTGATTTGGCATTGATAAAACAGCTGTGATCTATCAGCATATTTGTAAACGTGAGCCTCTTGACCAGCCATCAAATCAGTAGGATATTCCAAGTTATTCAACAAGAACTTATCGAGAGCGCAACCATTTTCATCGAGAATCTAAAACAATGTTCTCATTAGGCTTTTGGATTTTTTACAAACTTGAATCTTGTCTCCATTTCCATCGTCAACGGTACAAGTGTGAACAACAGCACAGAATGTATCAGTGGTTTCAGAATCACAGGTCCATTTGTGATAAACCTTAAGAAGAATGAAAACATCGTTTCCTTAGGGAGCGTACTTGTTGTCCGATGGTGGCAAACTGAACAGGCTCTCCAGTTGGTCCTCCGTTGAGAATTTCATACTTACAGATGGGCATAGGAACAATCTAATTATTTGTTTGCAAAGTTGGAAGATGTTAAGTGTTACCTGAGTTTGGAAGGCGGTGGTGAGATCTGAAACTTCGATTTGAGTGGAAACGGTTTTGTCAGCTTCCATGTAGAAGCATTGGATACGATAAGCTCTGCAGATTAAGGTTACGTTCACAACTCCTTGTTGTCAATACCTGTCAACTTTAGTAACGAATTGAGGATGGAAGGAAACAACAACAGTTGCGGTTACAAACACTCCTTTGGGGTTCAAAGATCTGGTTCTGGCCACGTTGCATGAGTCGAAAGGAAGCTCAATTCCTGCTACCTGAATGATGCCTTGTTGAGAAATCTATAGAGCTGCTGAACATTACTTGACGTCCTCCTTCATCGTTTCTACACTCTTGTTGGTCGAAAAGTCCTTTAACGTAGACATGACCTTCGAAAGGATTTCTATAAACTATGTTTATTCTTCATTTGTTTGATGAGTTATACCTGGTGTTGAAGTTAACCGTTATAGAGGTAGGTCCGCATTCTATCTCAGGTTCTCCTTCAACTCCATTATCTACTGGAATGGCAGATATGAATCCAACACAAACTAATAATGTGACAGTATGTATCAGCCTCATCTGAAATTGTTTCAATGAAAGAATAATAGACAAGTAAAGCTTAGAAGAATACTAACAACATTGATGAATTCTTAAAATTAAGTCGTTTTTGGAATGCTTAGAGAATTCTGAGTTATGAAATGATCATCCGCCAGCCTTATATTTGTCTGGCCAGTGGGCACCCACCCACTTTTTCAATGGGTGGGTAAGGCTTTGTCCTCTACAGTCTATAAGAAGAAATATCATTGTTTGATGAGAGATCGTTTGAGTTAAAGCCAGATATGACGATTGCTTGAAGCCGCATCTGCATATTGAGAAAGGAAAAGTTGCTAACGGATAAAGGATGGAAGGCATCAATGCCAGTTTTCGTCTGCATAAGAAAGCAATGATCATGAAACCGCAAAAAATATTTAGGACTAGAAATGAATTTGAAAATACCAACTGATTCTTCAATTCTTCGTTTTGTAAAAAGACTTCCCAATGGTTAGACCATGCTTATTGTCTTTCCACATGAATTCTCATATGTCCTGATGACCCTATCTAACACATGTTCAGAGATACCTGTTCGGGGCGTAAAGGTAGGTAGACCTGTCGACCTATTGCGTTCAAAATGTTTAAATTCAAGATTTCTGCAGTTCAGCACTTACCTCATTCAGTATTCTGCTTGTTCGTTGCTCCAATGATAACACAACTCTCAACATACCTATCATCTGCAAAGCCCGTCTCTTTTTCTCTGTGTTTCTTACCGAGAGCACTTGTTCATTTACTTCATCACAGTTCTAATTTCGTTATTTCAGAATCTTTCGGTTCAAAATGGTGTGACGTAACAGCGAACTGGCTTTTCTGGATGATATGTGTTGGGATAGCCGGTTAGCATATTTTTAAAATTGAATATCTGATTCATTTTTCTGAGAGGCTTCAAGAATCTTCCATAGTCCTGTCAGAAGATACTGTTGAGTGGAATGCGAGTCAGAGAACTTCATTCTCTCATCTCTTTGAGTTATGCTTAGCTTGAACTGATTGATGGATCACCTCTTGGGAGAAATGTTCATTTATTGATCAAAAATTTAAATAAATGACAATAAATGTTTGGATGAATAAGGATAAGAGAAATCCTGTTTGTGGATTTAGCCGATTGCACAACGGCTGTAACCTGGTCCCGACAGGATTTCCACTCTTCTATGATACGAAGAAGAGGGATATGCAAAATAGATAAATTACAACGTGTGTTTTACACGTTTCGAAAATGTCTAATAATACATAATAATACAGAGAATTGTCTATAAGAATATGACTGACTAAAGTGATATGTGATAGTGAAAAACAATGTTTGCATGTGAGCCATGAAATAGAGAGTGAGATATCGATTTATGATATGTTGTAGATAGTTGCTACACTTCTTGTACTCTTGGTCGTAAAAGGTAACTGCCTAAACAAAGTACACAAATACTTTTTTCTAACATTTCAATATGATACCTATGAAGAAACCGAGAGCTATTATCCCAACAGCTCCAGTTGCAATAAAGAACACTGTAATGGGTGAGAGACAAATTCCATTAGTCTCTTCTGATTCCAGTTTCAAAGCAGTCGGGTATTTAGACTGCTGTAAAACTATTTTATTCGCATAATTGTTTAGTTCCTAACCAAATCTGATGTACTCAATTCCACTCGTACATCAAGAGTATTCTCTTTTGTCCATCTTGGTTGTTGTGAAACAGATCGTCGTTTTCTCAAGAGCCGGATTGTGGCTGCTGGTGGTGGAGGAGGAAGGGTTGGTTCACTATTATTGATGGGGAGTGCTGGAGGGCTTGCAAATTCGGGATCCTTCACAGCTCCGAAACCTTGAGGTTCAGCACATTCCGGACGAGGACACTCTTCTGTAGGTTCCTATAAATATTTGAATAAACATCAAGTGTTTCTTTGAATACTTTGATTGTGACACTGATTTGGCATTGATAGAAGAGCTGAGCTCTGTCTGCATACTTGTAGACGTGAGCTTCCTTAGATATCTCAGTTAAATTAGAAAATAACGAATTCAACCTGGCCTGCCATAAGATCCGTAGGATATTCTAAGTTATTCAATAAGAACTTGTCGCGTGCACATCCATTTTCGTCAATTATCTGAATTCTGTCTCCATTACCGTCATCGACTGTACAAGTATGGACAACAGCACAGAATATATCCTGGGTCTCAGATTCACAAGTCCATTTATGGTAAACCTTTATAAATAGTAACAATTTATAAAGAGGGTTTGTTTTCATACTTGTTGACCAATTGTTGCAAACTGAATTGGATCTCCAGTTGGACCTCCATTGAGGATATCATATCGACATATTGGCATCGGGACACCCTTAACAATTTCATTTCCTTTTCAATTCACAAGAATACTAAGATGGTATCTGAAGATTTTTATAAAATCTAATCCTGTCTAAAAAATGTTCAGACGATGGCATATAATATGATTGAATAACATGATAAGTCAGATATGACAGGATCAAGAGAGAGAGAGAGAGAGTAGCAAAGAGTGAGAGAGAGAGAGGAAGATAATTGCGCGGTTAAAATAAATGAATCAGATGAATGAGACTTATTAAAACAAAAGCAAAACGTACAGCTGTTTGGAATGCTGTTGTAAGATCAGAAACTTCAATGTTTGAGGACACAGTCTTGTCAGCTTCCATGTAGAAACATTGAATTCTGTAGGCTCTGCAAATGGAATGATCCCATAACAACACGCTTCATACATTCAATGAACATGTGCAAACTATACCTGTCAACTTTTGTAACAAATTGCGGATGGAAGGAAATGACTATTGTAACTGATACAAATATTCCTCTAGGATTCAAAGATCGAGTTCTAGCCACATTGCATGAATCAAAGGGTAATGTAATTCCGGCAACCTGAAGCTTGGTGTGATCATAAGTAATTCAGAAGAAAATACACCTGTCGACCTCCTTCATTGTTTCTACAATCTGACTGGTCGAACAGCCCCTTAACGAAGACATGACCCTCAAAAGGATTCCTAATGAATATGTTATGCATTCATATATATGAAATATATATTAACCTAGTATTAAAGTTAACAATGACTGATGTAGCCCCGCATTCAATCTCTGGTTCTCCTTCAACTCCGTTATCAACAGGAATTGTATAAACAGATGTTATTCGAATAAATAAAACTATAATAAAAAACATCTGAAATTGATAAAGAAGTTATCCATATAACGGAGAAAAGAACAAAGACTTCAAAGCTCAGAAAGTTGGATTGAAAGGTATGATTGTGAGGGAATATCTCTCTATGAGATAGAAGGAGAGAGAGAGAAGCAGTGCAGTTAACTATATGCATGTATAGTTAGTAAAAAAGAAACAAATGTTATTTATAATAATGAGAAATTGAAATTTATTATCATGTAGACAACAATGTAATGTTGGAACAGTGAAGGAGAAAGTGAGACGAGAATCAGATGAAAGGGCTGGCCATCAGATACTTTTCTTCAAGTTGAATAAGCCGCAATTGAGATAAAAGAGGATTCTCTATAAATGAATATAAACTTGTCATTCAGGTGGTCCTTGAATTCGACCATTGTGATTGTATAACCATATAAGCTTTTCTCATAACAATAGCACATCACGGAACTTGACACAGGATAAATTGAAGAAAGAGATTACAATTGACCAGCGTATGAAAACAACTACACGCACACACACGTACACATGAAGACGTTCAGATGAAACGTTTGAAACAAAACAACAATATAAAAATATTTTTTTTTTATTAAAACGGCAATTAGGGTAATAGACAATTCTGACAACTCCTTTGAGATTTAAAATTGATTTTGCATTCATAAGTATTGGATTGAACTGTTTTACTAAATGAGATGGAATGGAATAAATGCTTCATACTTGATATCTTTCTTCACTTTGAGTTCGTCGTCTGAATGATAGTAATGGGGGCAGCTTCATAGAAGACTTTGATGGAGTAAAGAGTGTAGACCGGAAGCCTGTAAACTGCCAAATAAAGCCATAGAACACTCTAACTGATCTTTGACACAATGTATCATAGAAATTCTCTTAATTTGCTTCTTTTCTTAGTTCGTAAGTGAAAGCCTTTGATTCGGGTTTTGAGTTTCTTTAATTATTTTTGTTATTTTCATTTTAAAAAAAGAAAAGAAAGCATTAGAGAAGTAAGAGAGTGAGAGAGTGCGAGAGTAATGCGTTAGGATAAGCTAGCTACCATCTAATCATCGTACCTTCATCTTCGACTTTCTCTTCAATTAAATGAAGATCAACAGATTGCTCTTCTTCTGAAGTTCGAGAATTTCTATTGCTTTCAGTATTATTATGGAAAGCCATTCCCAGGATTGTCTATAATTGTATTGAAAAGATTTCTTTCTTTCAATATATTAACATACCCTCATTGATATCAATTGGAATAGCCTTTCTCCAACACTACTTGTTTCATCCAATGATTTGTGAGTACTTGTCTTGTCTTCTGAAGATGTCATTGATGCTGCTTGATTTCGTTTGTAATCATCAGAGAGTGTTCGATCGAGATGGAAACGACTATGAGCAGATCTGAAATTAATCTTCAATTTTAAAATATCTAGCAAAGATCAATTGAATTCAGTTGCAAAAGGATTTATGAAGGATTTGTAGGCTGTCGTTTGGCTTTGAACTCCTGAACTGAACATGAACGAATGTCAGAAGAATGAAAAAAGAAAGAAAACTGATTTTCACACGTCTTTCATAGCTGACGTATCATATGCTTCTTATATGGGCTTTGTGACTGAATTACCTGCTTCGTTTAACCAAATCGAAGTAATCTTTGGGTTGCATCTTCTTCTTAATTGTATTTGTCAGCTTTTCTCTCGATAAACGACGTCCTTGGTGAGGACGCGGAGGTAAATCCTACAATTTGAAAAGCTGAGAGGGAAAATAGCAATTTGTAAACAACTATTTAGGATAGATAGATAGGAACAAACACAGAATCTCAATAACATTATGATTATAAGACATACTTTGGTGCGAGTTTCCTCTTCTGATGAATCGCCTTGGAATTGTGCTCGAACTTCTGAATCGTCCACAACCCTGTTCATACCGAGTTTCTAAAACACAAAAGTTATATGAAAGAAGAAGAAGAAGAAGCAAGAAAGAACAATGTGTTAATCAATGGGCAACAAGGCGAGTTTCTATACTGAGAACTGAAAGATTTTTTTTTTATTATAGATGCAAATTGGAAAATATTTGAATATTTGTCGGTTCTGTTATTTGCCTCAAAAGGTATGAAATACGAAAAACGGATTGAACTGAACGACGATCTCTTTCTTCAATACTAATTCTATTGTAAATGCTAATTATGGTAATTATTTCATCTTCTTTCTTTTTTTTCCAATTAACATACTTGAGCTCGATAACGAGAATCTTCGTTTTTCATCAGACGATAGATCAGATAGGCACACTGCTTTTGTTCTTCACGTGTAGCTCTCTCCATAAGAGTTTCGCTGTTCTGATTTCTAACGTGGAAAAGCTGAACAACAAGTTTATGAATTTACAAAGTACTTGTTATGAATACTTTGCGCAGTTTCCCATCTCGTCGCAGTTGCCAGATGCGAGTAGTCATACATTCAAGATTGTCAAAAGCTTCATCTTCTGCTATGATTCCGAAACTGATGTTTGGAGATTTGGACATTTCAATGAGATCATCATAAACCTAAATGTTCATTATAATCTAATACAACAAGCTTGCTCAAGCTTAAGCTTACCGAATCAAGAAGTTGTTGTTTATCAGATGAATTATATAACTCAGATTTGTCCATTGTCTGAAACCTACAAAATGGAGTGAACGAATAGAATTGTAACTATCGAATATGTGAAAAATATAAACGTGGGAATTCAGCTTTTCGTTCAATGGTCTTTAAATGTCAAATTATCAACAAATCTCACGTGAATGGAGAAAAGAGAAAGAGGAAACAAACACGTTTCCATTATCATTTTTGTTTTTTGAAGAACTTGTCGATAATCTTCTCCACACCATATATGTAGATATCAACAAGTACTACTTCTACTATGAACTAGCTTCACATGTCAAGATGAGCAATGAGACAATCAAAAACAATTATAAGTTTTCTCAAAGTTCAAAAATTCTTTGAAAGAACGAAGAGTAAGAGCTGACTGGATGGGAGACGAGAACGATATGAGAATCGAAATAGGTATGAAATGAAAGATATTAAACTGATTGAATTTCTATGGCAACCAACGGAATATTGAGGATGATTTTTAGTTTTCAGCGCTCACCTCTCTCCCATTCAAACCTCAGAGTTACCTCTTGTTGTTCAATCACCCAACAGACATACACACATGCACACACCCATAGATACACACACATACACACACATAGACATACATATGTAAGTAATATCTCAATGAAATATCATTTGAACATTGAGACAATCCAAATGTAATTTCCTTTTTTTTGGCTCCCAAGAAGATTATTAAAGAAACCGCACAACTCTTATAAGATTTCATAGAGTGAATGGAGTAAACATGATATCACTAGCAATCTCATCTTTTATTTTTCAGAATTTCCTTTAATAACCTTCATTCATACAAACGGAAATTACTTTTATTAGTTTTTCTCATCCTCATCCATACCGTACTACTCTGATACTTCATCCTGCTCTCTTCTATTGCCATCCAAATATCATATCAATCGAAACGAAGGGCTAGAGACGTACAAGAAGACAAAAGAAACGAAAAGGAAGGAAGAAAAAAAAAAGTTTTTTGAACACTTTAGCTGCTTGTTCAATAGCTTAGCAGATCTATAGAAACTATTTGACAAATAATAATAACAAAAACTACATGTTTGAGCAAGCAAACGAACTAAGCATAGACGATGAATTTCTATTTTAACTTCTTATGCAATGAACATACAAAAGACAAGCTTCTATCAATTGATATAAAAGGCTTGTAAAGTTGCATTATATACTTTCAGTTAGCTTTGCTAGATAGCTAGAAGCTATATGTCATTCATTCACATAGCCTTTCTTCTGTACCACCACTCTCAAGAGTATGATGTGAAGGATATGAGTTTCTTGCATATCAGCTTTTCAATTAAACATTTAACAACAGAAAGGTGGTGGCTGGAGTAACCAACGTATGACTTATACATGATCTTCGAGACAATCTCAATAAATCATATAAATTCTTGTATATACTTTACATGTTGATTACAGCTCGCCCTCTCTCTCTCTCTCTCTCTCTCTCTCTCTCTCTCTCTCTCTCTCTCTCTCTCTCTCTCTCTCTTCCCTCATGCACTTGAAGTTTGTTTTATACAAATTGTTACTTTTAATCAAATACTATAAAATACTTGTCATTCATTCTCTATACCTTCATACAAGCCTTCTTTCATTTCTCCAACTCTAATGAACAATCTCATTTCACATGAAAGCTCAAGCGAACAAAATCGAAATTGCTTTAATATAATTCTTTCCAACCGAAACTTATAGCTTTTCAGATAAATTAGCATACGTGGCATAATGCGTGAACTTCACATAAACGGTTCGGTTTTCATTTTATATTGTGTTTGTGTGAGGAACCGGTTGTTGTTGAGTACTCTCTCATCCGTGTGATGAATAAGGTTGCACCGCCATATACATCTTGATTTTCGAAATATTCACTTACATTCTCCATAGTTCCAATAGTAGTAGATAGCTGTGTTCCAAATAATCATTGATATGAGTGTATTTCATAATAGACTTATCAACATACTTTCATAATTCATTCTCAGCATTTTCGTTCCCAAAAAAGAATATAAAAAAGAGAGATTCTGACACCTCATATCATAAGCTTTGTATCAATATAAGGTAATCTAGATAGTTCTTATCACCTTTTTTTCAGTCTTATCTAATCTTCTACTACTCCTTGCTTCTAATTCATTTTCTCTGGCAGCGCAAGCGAAAATGCCGCAAGTGAAACTCATTATTGGTAACTATTTCATTTTAACTTTCTATTAGTTTTTGATGTTTCAGATACTGATGGAGTTTCGGATGATATCCGAGCCATTTCATTGGCAATGCAACATCCTGATGTTGAAGTAAGCGTTCACATTGACTCATTTCACTGATTATTCTTTTTCATAGGTTGTAGCGTTCACTACAGTTCATGGCTGCACCACGGTCGAACAAGCGACAGCTAATGTTGCTCGCGCTCAACGAGCAAATAACGTTAAGGTAACTGGCTCAAACAATTTCTTCTTGCTAATCTGAGAATTCAGACTCCTATACCTATCTATAAAGGTGCTGAAACCCCATTCATTCGTAAAGCAGAAGCTGTTGAAAGCGAACATATATTTTTTGGAAAAGATGGAATCGGTGATCAACCAGAAGCTTTCCCAAAGGTTCGATGAACATCCTTGTTCACTCATTCTAAAGCTCTTTGCGTTGTAGGTTGTTCCTTCTGATTTTCATGCAGAATGCTCTGAAATCGCTGCAATGGCACTCATAAGATTAACTCGAGAAGATCCAAACATAACAGTTGTATCCATTGGGCCACTCACGAATGTTGCTTTAGCATTAAAGCTTGACCCGAACTTTGCCCGTCAACCACAACGACTAGTAATAATGGGTGGTAACTATTATGGTTTGTGATGAACTCCAGAAATCAAATTAATTGACAAACTCCGTTTAGGAATTGGAAATGTCGATTCAAGTTCATCGGCTGAGTTCAATTTCCATGGCGATCCTGAAGCTGCAGCTATTGTTTTGAAGGAAATGGAATGTGCCATAACAGTAGTCCCATGGGAATCATTCTTCTTAGAAGGACCTCACGTACGGAGATTGGGGAGCTTCGGAATATTTCATTACATCATTTCAATTTAGCATGAGAAAGAAGTGGATTTCAATAAACATTTGAATTATAGCACTCCTCTAGCATCCTTCTTATCAACTGCAACAAGTATTGGTAAGCGCCTTTTCTCACTTTCTATTCTCATCATCTAGAAGTCTTTGTTTTAATGTTGGAAAAACATGTCAAGTCTTTTAAGGCCGCGAAATGATGGCGAGGAATGGAAGACAATACTCCTATTGCGATGAAATAGCAGTAGCAACAGCAATCCACCCAGAGTTGATCGTTCGAAAATATGCATCCTTAAGGGTCAATGTCGAATTAGCTGGAAAACACACGAGGTAATCGCCGCGTTGGAAATATTAACTCATTAGTTGATAGGGGGCAAGTGGTTGTTGATTGGGTCGATGTTCTTTGGAATAACGAAGACGCCGAGTTTACTGCTGCACAAGGAAAAACAATAGATCGCACGAATCGGACAATCGACTTTGTCACTTCATATAACGTGACTGTGGTTGATAAATGGATGCATAACGCATGCAAAGGAAATTGGAACTCCTAATTCTCCTAATATCATTAAGTATCAAGTACAAGACTCGGATTTACATGTTCTGAATCGTTTCCTTGGTCATTTACTGGTTATAACTTTGTAAGATAGCAAGATTGAAGTGAATCGTTGCATTCTCTTCCGTTTCCTTTGTCTACTTTATAATGAAATTATTAAATATTATACTAGGAACTAACTTTATTTAGTATGAAATTAGTTTATAAGGATTTAGAATACCCTTTGGATCAAAGATTGTTTTCAGATCTCTTATAAGCTTCCTCTCTTCAGGAGATTTGCTCAAGTGGGCATAAGGCAATTTCATTTGCCCTATTCCATGTTCAGCTGAAATAGAGCCTTCATGCTGGGCGACCCATTCGTAGAGATAAGGATATAGTCTGATGGAAAACAGCTTTATTGAATATGAACTGTGTACCTACTCTTTGTACAGACTGTCCTCGTACTTCTCACTTGTTATATTCAAGTGGCTGTTTCCATCCCCAAGATGACCATATGTTACCACTCTCTTCACACGATTTTTAAACTTTGCCGAGATATGCTTGAAAAAAAAGCTTCATCAAAGTTCTTAACATGTAATTCACTTCGGACAACTTGTAAAAGCTATCTAATGGCAGAGAAACATCGTTTTTAAAAACCCATCCATCTTTAGCAACTGCTAATGGAGCAGACTCTCTTAACTTCCACATTTCATTAGCTTCCATATGAGATCTTGCCTGCAAGTAGCTAATTGGATAAGAGGAGACTTTTTTTCTGAAGCGGTTAAGAACATTATACAGCCATGCGATAATTCTGATTCAGTTGAAGTTTGAAAGAACCTGAATGCCATCCACAGCCAGTCCACTGTCCATACATTGTTCAAGGAAATTCGCCATTTTTTCTTTGTCATGCGTCTCGTTAGAACCTAAATATTATTTTCCTCTTCAATTGTATACGAAAATTCCCGAATTTGAAGAAAGATTAAAATGCAATATGAATTACCCGATGTTTCAATCAATATGTTGAAGTTAGGATTTGAAGACAGAACATGGTTCAGACCCAGAGTGTCTCTCACACATTCTATTGTTGCACGATCCATGAACTCAAAGGAAGATAAAATCTGAAGTACATATCCTCTGAATGAAAGCGGCAGTGAGCACATTCAACCTCGGAGAGTTCACTGCGAGCTAACTTCAGGATATTGCAACAAGCCTCAAACGAATCTGTCCCTATCATAGCACTTTGAACACTTATTGGCTTTGGAACTGTTGTCATTGTAACTCTATGTTTTTGAATAACTCAACAACATGATCAGTATACCTCGTGATAATGCCTAACTGTCCTTCACTCCCCAAAAACAGATGTGGAGTGTGCAGCGAAGTATTGTCCTTCCTCAGTGCTGAACCTAATCGGAGAACAGTGCCCTTGTGATCTGGCAAAACCTTCAAAACCAAACTTCACCGAAGAAATCAAAGTCTACGAACAGCTGTCAAACCAAGTAGGTGAGCATGAAGACTTCCATATCGTAAAAGACGGATGCCTCCAGCACAAGTAGCGATATTCCCACCGATCATACATGAACCTTTGGCCCCAAGATCGAAAGGCATCATATAACCTTTTTTAGAAATTTTCTGATCTAGCTCTTCTAAAACGAATCCAGCATCGCATGTTAGAACACCTAGAGATAAGCCAGTTTTGAGCTTTATTCAAAGAAAATATCCCGCCTGTAACTTCATCGAAGTTGAAGTAATCTCTTATACGTTTAACGGATATAATTACTTCGTCATGAACCGGTATAGAACCACCAACTAATCCAGTATTTCCTGCCTGCATCATCTTACAAACCGGAAAAATGAAGCTATCTATTCACCTGAGGAACCACAGCTATATTATTTTCAAAACAATATGATAGAAGAGCAGAAGTCTCTTCAGTTGTGGCTGGCAAAAGCACACAAGATGCCTTCCCTGGGAAAACGAAATAAGAAATAAGCAGACGCAGGACCTGCCTTTGTACCACTTTGACCAATCAGCGTTGTAAGTTTCAATTTCACTGATCGCAACGTTTCCAGAACCTAGAACGTTTTCAAAAAACTTCAAATCTTTGTCGGCGACATATTTGAAGTTCGGATTTCTTTCGGCTTTATGATAAAACAAGCGTCGAACAGAGCGTGAACGAGTCACAACCTGTCTCAGCATCTAAAAAGGGGAGAGAGTTAAGTAACATATTCATGAAAAAATTCAACAGGATACTTCCTAATGTATGTGCGAACAAGAGGACACAGTTTCTGTTTTCAAAATTTACCCATACATTATATTTACAATATATTAAAGAATGGTGATGTAACAACAATTATAACAGATCTCAGGATTATTCATCATAATCCTTGAGTATTCCATCAAGATGTTCATTATGGACCTTTCCGTTATTTCTACGCTTGGGTGTCTTCCGCTTAGGAGGTCCAGAAATTTTCTTTGGAGCGAGATCCTAAGAATTACAAGATTAAAAGATCATAAATATAGAGAAAGGCTCACTCTCATAGCATCTATTCCATGCTTTTGTAAATATTCCTCAATCTTTTTCTCATCTAGATGATCAACTGATACGTTCCTCCACACTCCCTTGAATTCTGAAAAGCAGCAAGATGAATGGAGATACGAGTAAATATGACTTACCGTCATCAATTGGAAAATCATAACCAATATCATTCCAGAAAACGACTTTGTCTTTTCTCTTATTTACTTGGGTAGGTACTACTATTATTTCTTTACCTATCGCCTATAATTATCTGGGATTTCGAGAGCTATTGTTACTCTTGTTTACCTCGAGAACTTTATCAGCATTTGGAATACATTCGTTTATTTGTGATAACAACACTCCACCTTTTCCATCTTCGTGAAACTTTCGAACGACACTCACCTAGAATTGATAATCAAACAACATGGTTAAATAGTCAAAACACTTACTAAAGATGCTCTGTTTTTAATTTTGAAGGGAGGTTGATATGTGAATTTTCCATTTTCATCGACCTGTAGCTTAGGGTTTTTCGCTAATGCCTATTCAATATTATTATGCAGCGATTCAATAGATACTAGTTACCTCTTTCAACCATATTTCAGTTTTCTTCAACAAGTCATGAACCTGTATTTCATCCAAAATTTCTTCCAATGATAAAGCCCATTGTTGAGAACTTAAATGACGTTTCTGGAAACTCATCAAATAACTTAAGCAGTAAGTGATTAACCACCTTCATGTAATCAACAATCTTAGCCATATTTTGGAAATTTGTTGCATTTGAATATGAAACAGCAGTTTTAAAATCAAAATCAGGGTTTCCTAAATTATTCCTGTTCTCTTCTAACTATATGTGATTAAATACCCTTTGCACTTGGCTGAGTTGTCTTTTTCTTTTTTTTCGCAGCTTCTGCATTATATGTTGTATGACTAGCACTTGGCCCTCCCTGGAGAAACTTCAATTATATCGAATATTTCAATAGGGATACCTGAGGTCTCTGCTGAACTGACACATTCTTAGCAGCGCTCTTTTGGAAAGCCAACGTTTGTCGTAATAACGATGGATCCATTTTAGGTTTATCTTCGAAAAACGATTGTGAGAGAGCGATAACAATTAAATGAATAAATAGAAATTCGATTAAGAAGTATTGAAATATAAAAGGAAAAGCTTAGCAAGTGCCCAGCACTGCTTATGTATCAACACTCCATTTGCGTCAAGTCAGACAGCGAGCGTAGTCAGGGGGGCGCGGTCAATTCAATTGTCCACTGAAACGGGCAGCAGCCGACTCGTGTGGTTGTGTGTTGTCCAGCTGCTGTAATCGATGTCCTTCTTCTTACTCGTACGTACATTTATTCAACTTTTAGTTTATGCTAATGAGTTGTTTGTTTAAGTCTAATTATCGAATGTTCTAGGTTTCGCTTTACTTTTTATGTAAATTAGCTTTTTGCATCTGATTGCTCTATTTCTCTCTATCCTTCACAACTTCAAAAAGATAAATGTGTGAGTTTAGTTGCATTGTTGAAGGGCTTTCCAAATTCCGTTTCGCTTCATTTCTCCTGTCTCATCTCGCTTGTAGAGGATTGACTCTCCATGCGTGTTAAGGGTCGGACAGTCCAGCTGTTCATCCTAGTATTTCATGGCTATTTGTTTCATGTGGTATATCCTTATATTGAGTGAAAAAGCATCATATGACCTTCTTTTGCTAAACCTGTAATTCCGTTTTTTGCCTTTGTCACACGAAGTGTTCTTGTTCTTCTCCGCTTCCTGTCCTGTCTCATCTAAAACTTCACTTATTACATTTGGCGATGTAAAAGCAGTTGAGAAGTGATGAGGATAGCGGATAGAGCGGACAACCTGACTGATTGACTAGATTTTAGATCTCATTTACGTGTACGATTTTGTCGTTGAAGTTCCCACATCTATATTAATAGCGAAGCTTCGTCTACTTTCATGAACAAACGGCGATCTGAGACACAAGCAGAGTCGTAATCGGTAAGCAGAAAACGGTTTCTAAAAACATCTTTTTGACTAAAGCATTCATATTTACTATACTCGCCTCTCTTTATTATTCACCTTGTAAATACTCTTTTTATAAATTGACATTCATCTGGTATGACGTTTGTTCCTATTAAGACCATCTCTTCCCTCTATTTATCTTTGGCACAAACGTTTGCTCAAATAAGGGTTTGTCATTGAGACTGCCAATAGTATGTTTCAAATGTTTTCAATTTAAGAAAAACTCACCTTTTTTCATAAAATTTCTCTATTTTTTCATAAAGTATCTATGTGTACTGCTATTCTTTCTCCGTTTCATTGATTATCACTCTATCACTTTCTACAACTTACTTTGTAAATGATCGCTGTTCTTAGATAATTCTCAACCTGACCGATACTGCTGGCTTTGTTACAATTTATTTTCAATCCTTCAATATCTTATTTATATATTATGCTTCATTCTTATTGTTCCTATCCCTCTAGCTGTCTCACATTATCCGTTTCTTGTCTACGCTCATCATTCATTCTCGTCCTTCTTGATGCTCTTCAAGCGTCTTTCTGATTTTTCAGGTCATGACTGGATTATCACACACATGAACTTGCAATTACAGAAAACTTGACCTTTCTTTTCTTAGAGCATATTTTTTTGTACTTTCTTCGTTTCCGTGTAATGTATTTAGCTCTCCTCTTCATTACGTCTTTTGCAGGCCCATCACTACTGGTTCGTGGCAGCTCTTTTGAAGTTGAACGACAGAACAGCGGCTTCAGAGCGACGATGCCGTCGTCGTTTATTCGCCGCCATGTACGAGGGTTACTTCGTAGTAAATTCAGTTCATCTTCTAGCCAGGAGAGTAGTCCCGACGAGGTGGAGTCTCGAGTAGAATATTTTTTAACGCAAAGAATTACAGGATGATTTACCAACTCCTTCAAATGAGAATCAGTCTTTCTTATCTCGGTGCTATCTAGCTGGGATCGATGGAAGAAGAATAGATTTTCCCGAGGTTTCCCTGCTATTCATGCATCTCCGCAATTATGCTTTTCAGGTTTATTGTGGTAAAACTGGTCTTGATATACCTTGCATTCAACTCCAAGCTTTCGATCAAGAGGTACTATCAACTTATACTGGTCCTGAAGGAGGATTAACAGAGGTATTTTATTATTATTTTTGTTCTTTCCATAAGTTCATTAGAACAACTGTTAAAAAAAATTGTTACTTTTGTTGTTAGTAGTGACAGCTGTGCTTTTATTTCTTTTATCTTCGACTTATCCGGTAAAGACAGATACTCTTGTTTATTTGCGTTAGTATTGAATGAAAAACGTTTTATAGGTTGGCCAAGTGAGAAGGCAACCAATGGTTCAGATGGCTAATCTTGATGATGAGATGAGCTTGAGCGTAGACGGAACTGATAGCGAGGAAGAAGTTGAAGAAGAATCTCTAGAAGAGGAGGAAGATTTGGATCAGCCCATATCAACTCCTCTGAAACAGTATCACAAACGAAAATCACGGTTAGTACAGTTTTTTTTCGCATATATATTGTTACAATCCGCTTAACATTACTTGATTTGCCCTCTGACTTAATTCTATGAAACGGCCATAGTTAGGGTTTGGTTTTTAGTCTATTATTTGGTCTTCAATGCTTCTTTTTCATCCTTTTTCTTCTAAAAAAATTGGATGAAAAAATCCCCTTATGATAATGTTATCAGAGAGTTGTCATTTTATTTTACTCCTTTTAGAAGTGAGGCTCTACTTGGCTCTTGTTCATCTTTACTTGGACCTAATGGTAGTGAAACGATTCTCCATAGAGAAGCAGGTAAGAAAGACTTGATGTTAGAAGTTGAGTCATTTTACAAAACAAATTTTATGGGTCTTCTAGTTTATATATCGAAGTGCGTTTTGTATCTTTCTCCTTACGGTTTTTGCTCACAACTGAATCACCCTACACAATAGTCATACTATTCATCTCGGCTGGCCACTTCATCTTAAACGAGAGGTCTTGTTGAAATGTATAGCTAGAGCGACAGTAATAATTGATAAGTACCTTAGAAGCTATCAATTCAATTAATGAACAAAAGATTTGTTCCTAATTCTCAGCATTATTGAGTTGTTAGTTGGCATATTGTCTATTATAACAGCTCCTAAACATCTTGCTGCATAGCAGATGCAACTGAAGTAATGAGCATATTCCTAGTCTATTAAGCTCTATTGAATCATCTTTTCAGTTGTTTCTGACGACGTTTGAGGGGTGAGGGGATGATGGAATCGAAAACAAGCCGAATATAAGACTTGTTAAAGTGAAACAAATGGGTAAAAAAGAAAAGTGAATCCGTCAAAAGAACTTACTCATTGGGTTCTACTTCCTTTTCTTGGCTTTAAGTTCAGTTTTACAGTTTTTCGTTTTGTTACACATCTTAACGTATTTTGAGAGATCGATTCTGTTTACTAGGGATATATTATGAAGGGTAGGAAAATATTAAATTGGGGAAAATTATTTCAACTCCCTGTTCCTTTCCTTAATTCGCTCAGTTCGTCTTATTCTGCTGTCCTCTGCGTCCATTCTATTCTATCCCTCTCTTCATTCGTTTGTAGCCTCATTTTCTCGTGCTATATACATATGCTTCCAGCTATAAATTCGTAGTGTAAACGGAATTTTTCTTTTTGTGCAAGCCATTTTCGCGATAATTCTTGCTAAGTCTGTAGATGTGAACGAGTTGCAAAGGGCAGATCTCGTTTTCAAGGGAGTGTTTTTGTTTCGCATAATTTTGTGAACTCGAAGTTTCTGTCCAGAACGGTTGCATTCTTAATATAATTATTGTTGGATAAGGGGGAAAGAAAACAACTGCCTTTCAGGACGGTTCTTCTGTCTCATTTGGGGAATTGTGTTTTGTACGCGACATATACTGAGCTCTGATGAATTTTTGATGTGGTTAGAAGCATTCCAATGTGCTTACCAGTAACATATTGGCGTTACTTGTCAAGTAGTTGTCTTTATGAGGATGCTTGTTGAAGAACTAGAAGGCATGTCATAGAGACCAAAGAGAGCAGTATGACAGCGTTTCCTCTATAACAGTGACATCAAACCAAATAGCTCTATTAAAAGACGACTTGGGAAGGAAGTGACCTTAAAATAATCCTTGCTTTTAAAGTTCAAATGAACTTTAAATCGATTAGCCTTTTTTGATGACTTTTCAAAGTTATACTCGAAAAGTATGGGAGATCTTCTAAAAATAGGTTTAATTTTACACATTTTTTTCACATTTACAAAGCATCAGGTTACCACATGCTGTTATGGGATTTAAATTCCGTACTGGCAGCTTAGTTGACTGCTAAGACTGCTAGAACAACTTTGAAGAGAATGACAGCAGGCAGTCATCGTTTCTAATATCTATCGAGTTACGAAGTGAGCAGTGGATTTCGAGTAACTGATGGTTCATCACTTTCGGTGTTTCTACAAAGATAACAGTTGAGTCATATAACAATGCCTCGTGATATGATGATGTTTTCTGTTGCAGGAGATGATATATGAGTTTATTTCCATGTTTCTGCTGGGCGATTCAATATATTTTAAAATTGAAGTCAGCTATGAGTAGAAGAACGAACGATGCGTAATAGAATAAGACGCTTGCTCATGAATACCCAAGTCAACACGTAATCACCTTCCTTATGATTTCCGTATCCAAATTTCTCGACTTTTCTATTCAAATCATCATTCCATGGTTATCCCAGCTTGTGAACAAACTACTTTCCGTTCGCAGTTTCAGATGATTGGAGATTGAGATGAAAGAAGACGATGATGAATCGTCAACGAGTAGCAGAAATAAGATGGACTAGCTAAAGATCGGTGCCTTACTGAGAGAAAATAGAAGAATGAGTAGGGAGAAGTGTTTGGGAATTTGCATAAGCAGCCAGCCATGGCGTTTCGAGTTTCCTGAACCAGTAATTTCGTTGCACAAATTTGAAATTATTTTCCAAAATATTGGCATAGAAGAACACCCTCATTTGTGAAGATTTTTTGTTTCAAAATGAACTGCTTAGATGTTTCGGGATTTTTTCATATTGTAATGTTTGAAATAATACGAATGTTTTGTTCAAATAGCTTAAAGGCTTCAAAGTTTTGCTTCGTTGGTCAATTCGATTCAACAAGACACGTAGTCGAAGTTCTCTTGAATATGACAGCTGGAAAGAAGAACAAATAAATTATTTCACAGCTCAGAAAAAGAAATAGTAGAGCCACTTATGGAAGTCGAATGCAAGTTCGATGGAGGTGAAATGCTTTTGAGCTTTTGGGGGTAGTACTTCTTAGCTAATGCGCTGTTGGAATGACAATATATCAAATCTTTCAAGAAATTTGTCATAAAACTGAAACGTTTAATATTTTTAAGAAGAAACTGAAGAATAAGAATGAGAATTCTCTCACTCTACAATTTCGAGTAGTCCTTAGTTGAGCATATTCAAATTGCCTAGGGAATAGCCGGAAAAGCCAACTACTAGCCGTAAAGTGTCTACTCAGTTGCCTATGGAAAAGCAAGTTGAAAAACTTGGAATCCGGATGATATCTCCACCTTTATAAGGAGTTGAAGGTTAATTAAAAGCCGAGAGATATATCTTATTTTCCCAACTGTATGTAATGAAAGTTGGGATTGGTAAAAGGTCTTCTGATTGCGGGATTCGAATATGTAAATCGACGTAAAACCGAATACTCAATAGTTGTCGTAATACTGAAGAGGGTTAGAGTATCAACACTGAGATGAATAACGAGCAGGGATGACTGAAAAGATTTTTTATTTTCTCCTTCTTTGTTCCTATTTGTTATGACGAATGTTCAGTTGGGGGGTCTTTCATTTCTTATTCAAATCTTTGTAAACGTAAAATGGAAAGAAAATTATTTTTAATTTTTCAGAAAAGTACGATTGGCAAAAAAGTGATGACCAAAGAGCCTTTGGTATTTCGGTGTCCCTCTATGAGAAAAATCCTCTGACAGGTGTTAGTGCCGGCGAACCCGTGGCTGATGTTTGGGGAGTTGTTGCTCGAAACAATAATGGAGTTGGTTCTAACAATGTGATTCAGTTAAATGCTTATTTTAAAGGTACTGGCTTTAGCTGACGGCGTGAATTGGGGCGAAGGTGCTAGATTAGCAGCTCGATGTGCCATTCGGGGAGCTCTAGATCATTTGAATGATCAAATCAATAGGAAAAGCATGACTACAAGCACTGTGAGCATATACTCTTGTACAATCACTTATAAATACGTTCAGGAAGTGTTCCACGAGTTGTTAGCCGCTTTCCATTCGGCCCATTCCTTGATTTTACAGGAAGGTGGGATGCTCACAACTCTTTGTGTGGCAGTTGTTGTTCCTGCTAAGCATGGGAATAGGTTGGTTAATCTTTTGGAGCTTCTTAATGTTTTACTTAGTTGGGTTCTATGTGTCTGCAACGTTGGAGATTCTTTGTGCTTCGTTTATAATAGGAATTATGGAGTACGGGAAGTCACTCTTGGTAGTCATGATATAGATCAGGTGAGATAACTTCACTTTACCAGAAATAAACATTATTTTTAGATGAGGGACATGCGCGATGCTGGCGGTGCCTTAGGACCAGTTGATGGTCGAAACCCGCAGCTACATAACCTAACATGTAGTATGACATTTGTTGAAGAAGGTTAGGAGTGCTGCAAATTTATGGGATCTGTAATGTTGTATCTTTATAGGTGATATGGTGTTCATAACATCGGATGGCGTTTCTGATAACTTCGACCCCGTTGTTGGAAAATTCTGTGTGATCAAGAAAACTGAAAGCGAAAACAAGGAGAATGCTCATCTTCCTCCCCGAGAGACTAGATCGATCGCTGTGTAAGAGAGAATATGTTGAACAGGGATGAAAATAGTTTTGCAGTTCCACAAAAGATTCTCCTTCAAAGGAATATAGTAGAAATCGAACTTGTGCGGCAAGCCTACCATGTGTTGATGCCGCTGGTAGGCATGAACTGATGCTTGTCAGGATGCGGGATATTATCGCTAATGGATTCGATGCTCCTGAAGTACTTTTTAGGTTTTTGAGTCCACATATGCTTTTTCTTTACAGACAAGCAAGCTATCATCTCCTCGAAACGAGCCACTCTTCTCGCGGGTGTCATCATCTCTTCTGTGTAACCGTTTGATCCATTTTGCCACTCAGCTCAGCACGTAAGTTTCAGCTTTTTATTATTCCTATTTTCGTTTTTCAGAGTAAAGAGGAAAACTCTTGAAAATCCCGAATTGTACAAAAAAGAAAAAATGACCAAATCAGAGCAAAGAGCCATGTGAGTTTATAAATACTTTTTGTTTTCATTATACTTTTACAGTCGTCGAGCCGTTCGAGAAAAAATAATGGATATGCCTGGAAAGCTAGATCATGCAAGTGTGGTTTGCTATAGAGTCGGTCTATGGGATCATGATTTTTCTAGTGAGTTACCATTTCGTTCTTAGAACTATTGCGTGATACAGATTCGCCAACTCCCGATAACATTGTGGATAACTTACCTGTAATGAACGGTTAGAATTTGGAGAATATTATGGTTGACAGTATCTTTCAGAGTGTTCATTAGAAACTAACGAAAAAAAAGAATCATCTATGGAGATCTCACGTTTGGAAAAGTCTTCGGTAGGTTTTTTTCCGCACCTTCATTCTCGAATGCATTCTTCAGCAAGCTTTTTTATTTTGACTTTAATGATCGGCCTTGTTTTTCGATATCTAATTCTATATTTTCTTTCTGAAATGATGCACGGCTGTGATTTCTGCACGTTTTATCTAGAGTTTAGCTATTCTCTGCATGTTTTACAGTACTCAAAGAATGATCGACTTTCTACGAGCTTGAGCATTCAACTGTTTGAAAATTCATCGGTGCCATCTTCAAAAAACAAGAAGAAAACAGATCTTCTATGTGAGATGGTGGAAGATGTTTCCATAACCTCGGAGAGACCTATTAGTCCTTACGAACAACTACCGGTAGGTTTTCAAGTTGCAAGTTTTTGTATTACTTCAAGCTTTCTAAATCTTTCGCTGATTTGTTGTTGATTAGTTTGAAAGTTGAGTGTTTTTCGGCATTTCCTGCTTGATGAGAAAAATGGAGAATTCGCTTCTTCATGCTTTAGAAGCTTACTATCTTATATCTTAACCCTTCTGACTGCTATAGGTCTCTTCCTCGCGTGAGATCCAAGAAACCTCTCGACGAAAAAAACATGCACGAGGCTCTGCTGCCAGACATACTCTCGGTGTTGATGTACAGTGGCTGAAAAAACTCGTAACGAAAAAAGATGGAACGCCTCCGATTGTTGAAGAAGAGTGAGTTTCAAACGGAATTTTATCTTCTAATGCTAGTGTTCAGTTTGAGCAAAGCGGAAACGGAAACGACTAGTAGTGAAAAGATCTCTCTTCGAAGCAGACTTCGGAGTCTCTTGGGTTCAAACAGAAATCTAAACAGTTCTGGATATCTGCGCCCAGTTCGACCTCAAGCTTTACCTATACGCACTTCGGTGGTTCAATAACTTAATTACTTAAACGATCAACTTACAAAACCCCCGCAGCTTGCCTCTACTCTCTTGTACAAAAATCTCCAAAGTGAATTAATAAGTTTTACATTTTATATTTTCACTCATCTCCCGTTTTATTTGAACCGGTTCCAAACGTAACGGAAGTCTTTCCAACTATTCTCCTGAAAAAATAAAGGGTGCTTAGATAATAATGCTGTCAACCAAATTTCTCAGGGTGACGTTAATACTTCAACCGAGTTCCCGGTAAATAAACGTTTTACAATCTTTTCCCACTGTATATAAATAATTACGAGAAGTTGAGAGTATCAGAACAACCACATCACATTGTAAAACGAAATCGCATGGGGTACGGTGCGCATAAATATCCCTTTGGACAGAATCTTCTACTTAACATAAGATCTAGTTTTCATCAGTTTATTATATAAGATTATAATTATATTTAAAATGTTTTAGGTCTATTTTTGTTATGACGACTGTAGAATTCTTAATGTAAATGCCATTTTGAAAAGAGCTGAAGTTGCGAAGAGAATCTGACATTCTTCATCAGTACGAGTAGACGTCTTGGTTGTTTTCATATTAAGATTAGCTATCAAACTGAAAAAGAATTATCCCATTTGGATGATTTTCAGAAAGTTACAGCTTTTCTGTTATTGTTTGGTCGGACACCGCTCACTCGGAAAAATTAAATGAAGAATGAAATCTATTATTTTCATTTTTCATCTTTGGAAATGTGGTCTGGTCGTTCACGTGGGTTTCATTCAACTTCTGTTTTGGTTCTTAGAGAGATATGAAAACATCTCCAACCAATTGACTCCCTGGAAATTACTAGGCTACTGTATTACTGTCAAGATAACGCGCTCTAATGCAAATCTGAAAGTTTCAATCCTCCTTCAATGTCCCACATATCTCCTTCTAATACCCCTTGCTCGAATTGAATATTCTGTTCTTATCATAGTGATTATGTGGT